TTTGATGTTTCTCACAATCACAAGTTGGTATTTTCATCCAGTATTAAGAGCGTTTCTGCTGCCATCAAACAGATTTTGATTCATAGAGCTACTGAGAGCAATACTGCTTTAATATTTCTGAAGAAATTAAAGTTAAAAAAGGAGAAAACAAATATTTAATATCCAGTTTTTGTAATAATGCAGGAAGGACTCGGGCTGTGGGCGCTGATCAGCTTCTAACACGTGTTAAGGCGCCGCTAAAGATCTGCTGGGGTGTTGAACACACTGACAGCTAAAGCAGCTCCTCGGTGAGGAGAAGCCCGGACGCTGCGCGATCAGTGGAATCGTCTTTTGCGCGCTCCTGCACAGCCGCCCGGTGCTAACAAACACCACAACACATGCTACGCCATCTCTCTCCGCTCCTCTTAATTACAGTAAATAAAAGCAGCGGAAGTTTCTTAATTGAAAAGAGCGCAGGTGAAGCCTGCACGCTGCGCCACCCGCAGCACCACGGCGCGTGGAAGTGGGGAGAAAAGGGTCGCAGATTTTCAAAGCTGATTTCGGAACAACTGCGCGGCGCGTGAATAAAGAGCAGCTTTACCTTCTCAGTTCATAAGTTTGCAGGTTCCGCGGCTCTCCTCCTGACAGCTGTGTGGCGAGCGCAGCAGTCCCCACAGCCACTCTGATTCACGCCGTTCACCAACTCCGCTCTCGACCCCGAGACAAGTTACACGCAGTGCTGCGCGGGACTGCCGATTCAAAATTTCAAAATAAAGTTACAAACTTGCTACAACATGTTTTATTCTTCTTGGTCAGTTTCGTGTTATGCAGAAGGAGCCAGCGCGCACCAGGACAATAAAACACGACACGAAGACGCTGCTGTGATTCTGATGTCGTCTCAACTCGCTTTGATTGGTCCAGTTTTGCAATATTGAATATTAAAATAGTTACATACAAAACACACGTGTTGTACATGTTGTAGGACGATGAATCCATTGGATCCACAAACCATCACCAGCCTCAGTGAGCCGCTGCTGAGCAAACACGTGATCATGTTTCAGCTCCGAGCTTCAGCTGGTGCGTTTATGTAAACATTAGTAAAGACACAGACACGCGCTGCAGTCCAGAAACTATGAAAGAAGAAGTCCCAAAACAAACAAACAAACAAACATACTTTCAAAGTTCTTGTTTAGTTAGTTTAAGTGTTTTACAGGAAGTTGAGTTTAACTTGTGTCTAAAGAGATTAAAGGTAGAAATAAATCTACTGGAAAAAAGAAGCAAATTATTTTGCTTTATTTATTTATTATTGTGTATTTATTTTATAATTAGAGTCTGATTTCTTTTTAGAGATCTGTTTTTCATCCTGTATTCACTGCCCGTCATTTTATAGATGATCAGACTCGGGTTTTAAACAGATTTTTGCGTCCTCTCATTTTCTCACAGTTACACAGATGACACACATGTAACCATATAGTAGACCTCGATGCGCGTCTCTCTTTTAATTTGAAGGTAAAAGCGTCTCACTTCCCACCTCTCTCTGGTACTTTGTATCCAAGTTAACTTCTTCCGTGAGTCTCCCTTCAGTTGAGACTTGCAGTGGATTGATGGGTGTTTCCCGCTTCATTCACCATCCACGCCTGCAGCTATTCATTCCTTTTACCTCATTTAAAGCGAGACGAGGCAGCAGAAAAATGCGTTTGAGCAGCAGGCAGATTGAGCACCGACAGGAGCGAGATGTGTGTTTCTGTGACCCCTGGGTAAACGCTCCGAGACGCCCAATGTGATCCTGTTAATATGCGTCCTTCAGTTTGGGGCAGGTGGCTCGTTGTAAATCTAAAAATTCATGACAAAGGAAGAGGAATAGGACATTCTTTACGAAACATTATTGGCTGAATAGCAACTGTCACTAAGATCCATTGGAGGGTGGTGAAGGCACAAATGAGCTGTAACTATAGCGAGTTAAAAATTAAACATCTGCATTTATTCCCTCTTCATCGGAGAAAGAGAAACACAGATAATTTATACCTTATATAAACCTGAGTATAGTACAAATAAAAACCGAATGTTGAAACATTTTTGATAAATATATTCTCATTTTGAAGTTGATGCCTGCAGCATGTTGGAAAAACAAACAAACAGGAAGTGACGAGACCCAGTTTTCACAGTTTTCTCCAGCTGTAGGATTTTAAAACGTACTGCACAGTCATGCATGCAAAACCCACATGCCCTATGAACAGTTCACCATTATTGGCGTCTTCACAGGTGTGCAAGCTGCTGTGCCATGCTCAGTTCTGATTGGTCAAACCCAGCACAGTTTGGCGCGCTCGCTTTAGCCTCTTAAACAGCTCAGAGATGCATTTGTAGTAGAATTTGAGCGGAGTTTGTGGATGCAGCAATAACCTGTGTTCATTCAAAGCTGCCTTTGGGTTTAAAACCACTTTGCCTCGTGTGCAGAGACTGAATGATTTTGTGCACCACAGATACAAAATTGGGAAACATTATTAAAATACTGCTAAGCTGAACGCTTCTCCATCTTTGCTGAATCCAGCCTCTTTATGATGTCTGTGATTATGTTTTTATACCCAATCATGTCACTAATCACACTTGTTGGTTAAATGTTAAACTAGTTTCCTCGTCTGTTTTTGCTGCTGTCACTCACAACTTAGCTATGTCAACAAAAAGTAGTCCTTACAATGTCTAGATGCCAGTTTCCAAACGCAAAAATAATCCAATGGACTCGAGAACACACGGGGAGGCAAAACCAGGAACTCACGCTGATTGTTGGGTTTTTCTCTGTATGTATTATTGGAGAGTCCACCTTACTGTATAAAGCACCTTGAGGTGACTGTTGTTGTGATTTTGTTAGGATGCCTGCGTCGTTGACCCAGGGTTTTTGAGTTTATTTTATTATTTATCATTTCTAGTCTTTGGTTTCTTTGAGTTCTGTCTTATGGTTTATGTCTCTGTCTTCTCTAGTTGCTCTGTCTCCCCTGGCAGCATCTCTGTGTATCCTTAGTTGCTGTATCCCCGTGTCCAGTCAGTGTCTGTCTGCCCTGGTCCCACGTCTCTGTTCCCTCTGTAGTGCCTGTCTGTGAGTCTGTGGCTGTATCCCAATTCAGGG